TTAGTAATCCGGGCAACACATGGACATAAACCGCACAGGGATAAATCGGACAAAGATAAATCGCACAAAGACTAAGATTTAAACCTTTCAAAAGTCAAACTCTTAATAATCCGATCAAAAAGTCAAACTCCGTTCAAAGAATCAAACACACTTAAAGCGATCAAAGTCAAACTTATTAAACCGATCAAATGAATTCAAACATAAACCGATCAAAGTCAAACAATTAAATCGATCAAGGTCAAACACCGTTCAAATGTATACTGTCCAAGATATATACGATTGTAGAAATAAACCGCTCAAAAGTCCAAGACTTACCAAGCGGATTCTAAACCGCACAAACTTACCACACAGATTGGTTAAACCGGTCAATATCCGAACAAGTTACAATTTTCTTACCAGCCGGATACTTTTAAACCGCTCACTAAACCTTTCAAGTGTTACACGGTTTATTAACCAGATTCCTTAAATCGCACAATGCATCAACTAATCCGCACAAAGCATCAACGGTTTGCCAGCCGGATTAGTTAAACCGGTCAATGTATTCGCCTAAGTGATGTCCGGTATATCCTATAACAAAACAAACTCAAAGCACACGGAAGTTAAACCGCACAAGCTTTAAACGGATAAAGATTCAAGCAAAAACATAAAATTTCACACTTTTWWMMAAAAATTTGGATCAAARTATGAAAAAATATGAGTTTTTAAGAACTTTTTCCAGAAAGCTAAAAATTGAATTTTGACTATTTCAGCCTTAAAACTTGTTTAAAATGCAAAATAGTGTGAATCAAGATTGTTTGAAATACAAAATCGAATCTAACAATACAAATATTTACCAATAACACCCAAAAATTGAATGATTTTGACACAAAAACCAATCCGGACGAAAAAAGATATCAAGAACAGTGAAGAACAGATCGATAATCTTCAACAAATTCGTGCAAAAAGTGTGTAAAATGGATATATCTTCAAATCCAAACTTCTTTATGATTTTTCTTTAAAACTTTGATAAACACTTTCTCCTTATAACCTTCAATGTCCTTTTCCAGTTGAACAATGTTCTCTCTGAAGTTCTCATATGAAACTGCCATTTTAAAAAAAATTGATCAGTTAAAGATCTATGCAGTTCAAGAAAATTGATTAAAGAAAAAAAAAATAAAAGAATTAAACAATTTCTGGAAATTCACACAACACTCAATTCTCAAACTCACAAACATCAATACACCTCATTGTGTCTTAATTCGGTCAAGAAAACGACTTAAACTGCTCACTTCTAAGAAGCTTATCCGGTCAAGTTATGTTCCTTAAACCGCTCACCACATGCAGTCTTATCCGATCAAGAGGTGTGAAATAAAACGTTCACTGCATGAATTTCTTATCCGGTCATTGAATGAAGTAAATCCAGTCAATGAATGAGACTAAACCGATTATTGCATGGAACTAAACCTGTCACAGCATGTATCTAAACTGTATACTGCAAGAAAGATAAACCGGACAATGCATGTATCTTAAACCGCACACTGCATGAAACTTAAACCGGACACTGTATGAGTCTAAACCGGACACAGCATAAGTCTAAACCGATCACAGCGTAAGTCCAAACAATGCATGTATCTTAAACCTGACACAGCTTGAAGCTTAAACCGGACACAACTTGAACCTTAAACCTGTCACAGCTTGAGGCTTAAACAGATCGCTGCATGAATTTTAAACTGGACACTTCATAAATGTAAACTTGTCAACACATGAATACAAACCGGACAGCACATGAATGTAAACCTATCAACACATGAATACAAACCGGACAGCACATGAATGTAAACATGTCACAGCTTAAATGTAAACCGGACAACACTATGAATGTAAACCT